AAGATCCATACTGGGGAATCCTTTATGGAAAGATATATACAACAACAAAAAAATGATAAAAAATAGCATAGCATCAAACTGCCACCTAGCTGCCCTAAACTAAAGTTAGAGGCTTTAAAAGGTGACGACAATGTAAAACCAATCAAAACTCTTTTAACATGTATCCTATAACACTTTGTAATGATAAATCTTGTATTTTTAAAAATAAGCAAATAGCATCTACTATGGATACACTGTTTAACTCAATGCTACAGATTTTGCTTTTAGAAAAGCTGTTGCATACTCTGGTAATATTAAAAAATCTTAAAACCTCAATTTGAAAAGTGTGGTAGCTGTTACATGAGGTTTCATTACTGAATTATTTTTACCATTCTCCTTATTTGGGAACCAAATTCAATAGCAAGTTACTGACAGATTAAGAGTTTCTTGACTCTAGAAAGTGAAAATATTTATCTATAGTGACTAACCTAGCCTCCAGCAGAACTTCTCTGCAATGAGCATTTGCAGTGCACCTGCATTGATAGGCTCAAAGATGTCAATCAAGATGGTCACCCTATAGTCGTCCAATCCAACCCAAACCAGCCCAGTGATTTCACTGAGATCACCCAGGTAACAAAAGTGGCCAAGCCAGCATCTGAGCCTGGGTCCCAGACTCCAGGTCAAGCACTCTTTCTGCGGTACCACATATTGATTCCATAGCCTCTATTTTTGTTGTTATTTTCCTGACTCCAAATAACACTCAAAAGATTTTTTAAAAAAATCTTTGCAAGGGGTTGTTCCATTGGCCAACTCCGTTTGGAAGGTGTTTTTACTGAAGTCATAAGTAGCACAAGAAAAAGGATTTCGATTCTTAAGCTCATTATTAGTGAGCTTTAAAAAATGCTAAAATTATAGATTATGTTTGTTTTGATCCCTTGGTAACTAAAAGTTTTAACACTCTTGAAGCAAGTCAACTTCTCAAAACTGTAAGTAACTAAATAATCATCTCCTCAAAGGTAGAACAACATCCCTTTAAGCTGCAATAGTCAATTAAATGTTATAAACTTAATTACATAAAGCCTTAAATTTGTAGGAGGAATTAGAAGGAAGGCTAAAAACTATCTAAAGTTGACAATTATGGCTTTATTAGTATCAAATAAATAAATAAATGGTAGAGGTCAAAGCAGGGAACAGAAGAGCCCTTAATAATGCCAAACTTCTATTTTTGTTTTTCTTTCTCTGCACCACCTTAACTAGGGTGTGAAATAAATCTATACATAGTAAAATTCACTTCAAACACAAATGTAAAAAACCAAAAAGAACATAGGTTATGCTCCAATTAAGAAAATTTATTTTAGATCAATATTTAAAAGCTCAAATAACTACAATTTTATTTTCCATATATAAAATCAGTGTCACCATCAAAATTACAAACTAACTTCATTCCTCCATCAATTTACAATTAAAAACCAAATACTCAAAAATACTATAGCAATTTTGTGGCATTTAGTAATGATAATGACAGAAGAGTATTGTCTGGTTTAAAAAAACAAACCAATAACACTATAATGTCCCTCTGGTCCCATTTGTGTGTTGTGTTGCTATGCTGATGTAACAGCAGTACACCAGAGCAGTACTATTAAAAGTTGAAAAACAATGTCAAGTTCAAAACAAATTTACAGAAAAATTATTCATGCTAAATACAAATTGCTCAAAAAATAAAAGTGCCCTAAAAACAATTTTACAGCACTGTGAAAATATTTTTATGCTTTGTTTATAGAATTTGTTCATAATTATAATTAATGAACATTTAAGTTTATATGACTCCTTTTAATGTTTCAAATGAAACTAATGGCAGCAGTACAGTATTAGAAAGAGTACACTTGATTAAGAATGAGAAGATCCAGGTTTAAGTCCCAAATCTCCTACTAGTGGCCATCTAGGGTAAGTCACTAAAGTGTTTGGGGTCTCACTTTCTTGATCTGTAAAATGGGTATAAAAATAATTGTAAAGCTTACCTCACAGAATTGTTGTGGAGTTTAAATGAGAATGTATGGCAAGCATTTTAGGATCCAGAATGCACAAAAAAAAGTGAGCTATGATTGTTGCTCTTCTCTAAGCCCCACCCCCCCAGCCTTTCCCTTTCATTCTACCTGCTCCCAATATCACCCCCTATAGCATAGGTATGAGGGGACTGACTGGACCTGCCATTTCCTTGGGATAGGGAGCTCCCAATAAGGGAACCCTTCCACCAATGCAGAGCAAGTATGGGCATGGAGGTGAAGGGAACTGCCTGTAAACCAGAGCGCCAGAATGTGTCAGAGGCAAGCCTCGAACCCAGCTATTCTTCACTCTACGGTACGGCTGTCTATCCACTAGAACATGCTGCACAAATTTTGTTGTTGTTTAATTGTGTCAGCTGTGTCTGACTCTTCATGACTCCATTTGGAATTTTCTTGGTAAAGACACCAAAGTGCTTGGCCATTTCCTTCTCAGCTCATTTTACTGATGAGGAAACTGGGGCAGTTAAATGACTTGCCCATAGTCACACAGCTTAGTAAGCATCAGAAACCAGATTTGAAACCAGACGAATCTTCTTGACTCCAGGCCTGGGGCTCTATCCATCTACCTGCCCCAGGGTCACAGGTGGGCAAACCAAGGAAAAAGCTGCCTACATGGAGATGTGAGTGTGGCTCAACAGACTTAAGGGAGCCCTTGGCAGTCTGGAGGTGGCCAGTTCAGTCTCTGCAGGGGCCAGCCTGAGTGTGTGAACTACCTTTCTGGCCTCCCAAGCCTAAGCCAAGTGGGGGCCACCATGCCAACTCCTCTTCTTTCTCCTCTCTTTTGGGCAAACAATCAATGCAGAAGGGGTAAGTCTAACGTGGGACCCAAGCCTCACCCTCCCATCCCATGAGCAATTAAAAGACCAAACACAAGCCAAGCCACCCCTCACCCACCATGAGAAGGCAGTAGCTACAGACTTTAAAATGCATATTCTTTTGCTAATTTCATTACTTGCTATTTTGTAAAGTACATTAAGGTATTTTCCACTTCAACGAGAGGACACATAGGTAAGAATTGCAAAGAATGAAAAAGTCCTAGATTGGTTACCTGCTTATGAAAGCGAAACAAAAAACCCAAAAACCAAAAACCCTCCATATGCAGTGAAAGGAAATGGAGGTACTGCTATCATATACATTACTTTAGATTGCACAACAGGGGCAAAGTTGAAAATGACTTCTTGGGTCAAAATTAAAAAGCAGGAAAGCCCTAACCAATGCCATATAAGGCTTTAAAAGCACTCAATTGGAACAAAGTGCAACATTTTAAATCATAAGTGAAAAGCCAACCTAGTAAAGAGTCTTCCCTGCCAGGTGCATATTTGTTTACAACCACTTACATTACAATATGTACTTTATGGAGGAGAGTGTCTATAAATATGACAGGTCAATGACTAAACTAAACTGAAACTGTAAAATACCAAAAGCAGAATCACAGATTAAGGGAAAAAAAAGTCAGTTTCCTGAAGCAGATGTTACAGCATCATTAAAACCAAGTTTTAAAGCCCTAATATTTCAAATTCTTAGTTTTGTGTTTTTTTCTTTCTACTGAGAAATAAAAGCTGGTGAAGACAAGAAAAGGATGAACTTTAAAAAATAGAATCAAGGATTTAAAGCTGGAAGGGACCTTAGAGATCCTTTAATTAATCTCTCTCAATTTGGAAATAAGGAAACTGAGACCCAGAAGTGAGATGGGTTGGCCAAGGTCACAAAGGTAAGGCACAGCAAGGCAGTACCCCGATTTTTTCCACTCCACCAATCTGAGAATTCATGTATCTACGCTCAAGCACACAAACTCTTCTGTTCACACGCGATTTTGCCTTTCCTGGGCCCTTGTTCTTTGGGATATCTCAAGTTTCTGAAGAGCAGAAAAAGAGATCCCTCAGGATCTATGTCATTTGAGCATTTCTAGGAGGAGGGGGGTGGGGACTTGCATATAAGTTGTATTCAGAAAGAGTAAAGTGAGCGTTTCTATTAGGTGACATTTTTATTAGAAAGCATTCTCCGGGGGTGAAGGTTGAAATGATAGACACTGATGGACATAATGTGAATGAATGAGACTGCAGTTTGCAAGTTGCGTTTTGTTTCCTCTGGTTTCATGCCCTTTGTTTTCCCAACTGAATCTTATTTTAGTATGCTAAGTATTGTAATTTTCTAAGTCATCCATGAGAAAAGCCAAAAAAACTCTAAGCCGCCTTGGTTCGAGGTTTTAACAAAATGTACAAGGTTGGTTTTGTTTTCCGTGCCCAGCGGAATGAGCCTGGATCTAGAGTCAAAGAACCAAGGCGGTTCAGATGCCAGGCTTGGTTTACCTGGGTGACCTTGGCTAAGTCAGTCATTTGGGTCCCAGGCCCTCGACTCCCTCATCCCTTGGCATCTGTAGCATGAGGGGGCTGGGCTGGTGCCCTCTCTGCTGCCTTCCAGCTCTGCCTCTGCACCCCATTCATTCCCTTTATTCCCGGGGTTCTCGGTCTTTGGGGGTCTTTGGGGGTCACGGGCCCCCTTGGGGAGGTCCTTTCTGGAGGAAGGCACTGAATGCACCAGGGACCCCAAAGCAGTTACAGGAGCTCGGGATGCCTTTTTTCAAGGCCAAGGTGCCCAGGTTCGGAAGCCCCGCGTGGGGAGGGCGGCCTTGGGCAGGACCCCGGGGGTCACCCAGACCGGGCCCTGCATTGGCGAAGCGGGGACCCAAGGCCGCGGGCGGGATTCGAACCCAGGGCCCCCTGGCAGCAGGGCTAGGGCTGGTCCGAGGAGCATCACTCGCTCAGGGAACCAACTGTCAAAGTTTGGAGGCGTCCCCCCCATCCCCCTCCTCCCCTCCGCTGCACGTGGGTGTCGCCGGCAGCCGGGCCCCCTCCCCCACCCGCGTTCTCCTCCGCCGCCCCCCCCCCGCCCCCACTAGGCCGCACAGCCCCGGCCTCGCCCGGCTCCGCGGCCGCCCCCGGCCCTCACCGCGCTCACCAGATCTGGAACTTGAGCAGCGGCCCCGTGGCGTACTGCATCTTGAGCCGCTTGCCCGGCACGCCGCCCGTGTTGGCCGAGGCCTCGACCCGCAGCGCCGCCGCCGCCATGAGCAGGAGCAGCAAGAACCTCATCGTCCTGGTGCCGCAGCGGCCGCCGCTCAGCCTGACACTAAGCAGAGCAGGGTAAGGCCGGGACCGGCGGCGTGCAGCTGCGTGTGCCGAGCCGAGCCGAGCCGAGCCGAGCCCCAGCCGAGCCGAGCCGAGCCGAGCCGAGCCGAGCCGAGCCGAGCCGAGCCGAGCCGAGCCGAGCCGAGCCGAGCCGAGCCGAGCCGAGCCGAGCCGAACGGGAGCGCGAGCGCGAGGCCAGCCAGAGCCGGAGTACGCGCAGGCGCAGGGAAGAACTCCTCCTCCCCCACTCCCCTCCCGCACCACGCACCCGCGCACGCGCACGCGCGCCTCACCCTTGATTGGGCAGAAGGAGCGCTGCGCGCAGGCGCGCCACTAAAGGCGACTAGGCAAAGCTGGATTCCTGCGTGCACCTTCCCTGACCCAGAGGCATCTCCGTTTGGTGGTGGAAGGAAATTGTAAAGGCGTCCTGGTGACGCTGTGGACTTGGGGTCAAAAAGCTGAGTTCAAATCCTGCTTCAGACTCCATCCGCGTGACCGTGGACAAATCACTTTGGCCTTCTCAGCCTCAGTTTCCTTATCTGTAAAATGAGAGTAATTGTAGCCCCTACTTCTAGGGTTGTTGTGAGGACCAAATGAGTTAGCGCGTGTAAAGTGCTTTGCCCTAAGTAAATGCTGGTTGTTATTACTGTTTTTTGATGTTGTTGTTAGTGAAAATCGTCCAATTAAAAATAAAAAAGTCATCCAGTCCAGAAACCTTCCTAAGCCCCTCCTTAATACTAGTGTCTTTCTTCTTAGATTAAATCAGTAAGTGTTTAGTAAGTGCCTACCATGTGTCAGGCACTGCGTTCTGGAGCTACAAAAAAAGGCAAAATTAAAGCACTTCTTTCCCTCGAATCATGATCTAATGGGGAAGACAACATGCAAACAACTATGTACAAATAATCCAAGAATCAATAAACATCTATTAAGAGCCTACTATGCGCCAGGCTGTGTGCTAAACTCTGAGAATTCCAAGAGGCAAAAAGCCTCTTACCTTCAAAAGCTCACAGTCTAATGAAGGAGATAAAATACAGACAAGATAAAAAAAATCATCTCAGAGGGGTGGCATTAAGATTAGGGCATGAAAGGTTTCTCGTAGAAAGGTAGGATTTTAACTTAGACTTGAAGAAAGCCAGGACATAGAGATAAGGAAGAAGAAAGGTAATGGGCATGGGGGCTGGCCAGTGAAAGTACCCAGAGTCTGGAGATTGGTGTGATTACCTCTCTTTACCCTGTATATATCCTGTTTGTATATAGTTTTTACATGTTGTCTCTCCTTAAGGGACCCTGTTCTTGCCTTTCTTTGTATCCTCACTATTTAACACAGTGCTTGATACATAGTAAGCCCTTAATAAATGCTTTCTGACAGTCCAACTGCCTTATTTTATAGATGAGAAAATTGAACAACGGAGAAATGAAGTGACTTGCCTAGGGTCACACAGTTCACAATAAATGGCAAAGGTGAGATCTGAACCCAGGTATTCTAGACTCCAAGTCCAGCACTCAATTGTCATTTTAGAAATAAGCAAAATGAAACCCAGAGAGGTTTAGACCTGCCCAAGGTGAAACAGATGATAGCTAACATTTATAAGGCACCTTAAGGTGTGCCAAGCACTTTACATATCCCACTTGATCTGATTCTCACAACTCTGAAGTATATGTTATTGTCCTCGCTATACCAATTAGGAAATTGAAGGTTAAGTGACTTGCCCAGAGTCACACAATCATTAAATGTCTGAGGAAAGATTCAAACCCATGTCCTCTGATTCAAAGTGTGCTACAAAACACTAATCTCAGCAAACAGGATCTCATAAATTACGACCACCAGATTATCTCCCCAAATGCAAAGTAAAGTCAAATAAAAATAAATAACACAACCTATTATATTCAAGACTGATATCCAGAGCTTAGGCCCTGAAGGAAAATAAGCCAGTTTTATTACACTTCAGATCAAAATATAGCAAGAAAGAAATTGTGCAGAACCACTATGCCTACAGGGGTATCCGAAGATTCACTAACTTGTTAAATCAATTCCACAAACGGAGAAAAGCTGATTCTGCAATTCATTGTGCTATGGGGGAGGGGATGATTCAAAGCTAATTAGTATGTAGTCCTTATCCTTAGGAAGCTTAGAGTCTTGTATTTGTATGAACAGAAAGAGCTAGGATACATACAAATAAGTAAAGGAGTCAATAACAAAGGTGAATTTTCATCTTCCAAAGTCATCGTTCACTTAAAATATAGTCGTTCCTATAGACCCTCCTTTCACTGACTGGATCTGTAGCACTCTTACTTCTTGCAATATGAATTTGGCAACATTTTGATTCATGTTTCTGAAACAGTATTTTAAGGGAGATACTTAAATTCGCCTTTGTTTCATGATTTGAATTTAAGTGTTTCCATCTCAAAATACTTTGTCAGAAACATGGATCAAAATGTTGCCAACTTTTTATGAGCATTGGATGACTTAGGAAACTGCTGGGTGTTTTGAAAGATTCCAAACTGCTTCCCTATACGAAAACCTAGCTTTAAAAAGCTGGTGTTTAACTGGTGTGATTGCATGGTATTTCAGGACTATCCACCTACCCAACTCTATGAGCAGGGTAAGCCTCTACACTCTGGATACACACTATTAAGCACCCTATGGGCAATTGACCAAACAATTTCATGTGAAGTCATCTTAGTAATTATCCTTTTGTCCAAACACGCTCACTTATGGCTCCCTTACTCTAATAAGTTTGATTATCACACAAGAATACATAGGATTAACCATCTTGTGACTTCTTGCAATAATGTTTATTTCTACTCTAGCTGAAACTAACCAAGCACGGGGGAATTCTGAATTAGTATCTGACTTTTAAGTAGAATATGCCACACAACTAGCCACCATATTTTTCTCAGCAGAATATGCTGACATCATTATGGTAAACACCACTACTACACTGGGCTTCATTGGAGCTGTGATGGATTGTTGAACTAATCAGTTACTAAGTCTTTCAGGATTGCATTTCTTTACGTTATTGCTGTTACTGGGTACATTGTTCTCCTGGTTCTGCTGACTTCACTTTGCCTCAGCTCATACAAATCTTCAAAGGTTTTCCTGAAACCATTCCCTTTATCATTTCTTATAGCACAATACTATGCCATCATCTATATCTATATCTATACACACACATACACACACACACACACACACACACACTCATATAGTTATGGCATGTGTATATCCATACCATAACTTGTTCAGCTGTTCCCCAATTTACGGGCATTCCCTCATTTTCTAATTCTTTGCTATCACAGAAAGCTGCTATAGATATTTTTGCATATATGGATCTTTTCCCTTTTTCTTTGATCTCCTTGGGGAACAGACCTAATAGTGGTAATGCTGGGTTGGTCAAAAGGTAAGCACAGTTTTATAGCCCTTTGGTCATAGTTCCAATTTGTTCTCCAGAACGATTGGACTAGTTCACTGTTCCACCAATGTTCCATTAGTGTATTTATTTTCCCACATTCCTTCCAGTATTTGTCCTTTTTCTTTTCTGTTATTCTAGCTAATCTGATGGGTGAGAAGTAGTACTCAGAGTTATTTTAATATGCCTTTTTCTAATTATTAATGATTTAAAACATTTTTCATATGATTTTTATTTTATTTCTTTTATTTGAAACTTGGATTTCTTTTTCTGAGAACTGCTTGTTTATATTTTTTGAGTTCTGGCCATTTATCAGTTAGGAAATGGCTTATATTTTTTTTTATAAATTTAGTTCAGTTTTTATATATTTGAGAAATGAGACCTTTATCAGAGAAACTTGCTGTAAAATTTCCCCCAGTTTCCTGCTTTTTTTGGCCACACCAGTTTTGTTTGTGCAAAAACTTTTTAATTTTATGGAATCAAAATTATCCATTTTACCTCCTATAAACCTCTATCTTGCTTGTTTGGTCATGACCTTTTCCACTAAGTAAAGATCTGACGGATAATTTCTTTTATGCTCTTTAATTTGCTTATGACATCATCCTTTATGTCTAAATCATTTTGAGTCTATCTTGGTGTACAATGTGAGTTGCTGATTTATGCCTAGTTTCTGCCAAGCTACTTTCCAAGAACTTCCCAGAAGTTCTTATTAAATACTAAGTTCCTGCCCCACAGCTGAGATCTTTGAGTTTATCAAACACTAGGTTACATGGTCATTTTCTTCGGTATGCTGTATATCTAATATATTCCATTAGCCAACCATTCTATTTTTTATCCACTACCATATTGTTTTGATGATTACTGTTTTGTAGTATAGTTTGAAATATGGCACTGTTAGGCTGCCTTCTTTCATATTTTTTAATTGATTACCTTGATATTCTTGACCTTTTTTTCCTCCAGATGAATTTTGTTATTATTTTTTCTAGATCAATTAAGTAGTTCTTCGGTAATTTATTTGATATGGCATTGAAGAGTAAGCAAATTAACCTAGGTAGCATTTTCATTTTTATTATATTGGCTCAGCCCACAAAAGAACAATGAATATTTCTCTAATTATTTAAATCTATCTTTATAATCGTGTGAAGAGTGTTTTCTAATTTAACTTATATAATTCCTGTGTGTCTTGGCAGATAGATTCCCAAGTATTTTATACTCTCTGCAATTATTTTAAATGAAGTTTTTCTATCTCTTCCTTTTGGATTTTGTTGGTAATATATAGAAATGCTGGTTATTTCCATGGGTTTGTTTTATATACTGCAACTTTGCTGAAGTGTTACAATTGTTTTCACTAGATTTTTAGTAGACTCTCTTGGTTTCCCTAAGTAACCATATCATCTGTAAAAAGTAATACTTTTTTGGGAGACAAGAAGGCAGAGTAAGAGGTGAGTCTCTCTTACCCTCCCTTATTAACCCTTGAAAATCCAGAAAGTATCACCCCAGGAAAAACTCTGGAACAGCTGAACCAGAAGAAAGATGTGGAGCAGCAGTCCAGTAGCCCAGATAGTTTGAGGGATTAACTGGAAAGATGCCTATTACCCTGGGGGAAGGGGAGCAGTACAGAATGAGCGGTGTCCCAGCAAGCTAGCAAAAAAC